GGGGGGGGGAGAAGCATCACTTAACTTTCTCCGCCACCCAGGACACCTGGCAAAAAATAAAAAAATAAAAAATAAAGGCGAGCGTCGTTTGTGCAGCAGGCCCACGTCATGGAAGTGAGGGCGACCACAGGCCGGCCAGTTGAGGTTGCGCGGCGCCACGTTGCAAGGAGAATGAATGAAATGGAAAATGGAATGAAACGAATGACGCAGGAATAGGTTTCGAATCGACGCGGCAACGGATATTGTGTGTGGGAGGGAATGAGAAAGGGCCGAATTTCCCCCGGGCGTCCGCCCAGGAAGTTTGCGGAAGCGCACTCGGAAGAAAGGCTTGCTACATCGCCCATATGGACGCCCCGGGGGAGGTGAGGTGGTGAGGTGGAGGGAGGAGGAGATGAGGCGACGGTGACGACCGAGCGAGAGAGTGAGAGGAGGAGAGAGAGTGAGAGAGAAGGGGAGAAGGAAAACTCGCGAAGAAAGCGGGGCCGGGTCCGCTGGACGGGCCGGCGGGGGGCGGGGCAGCGCGGTGGAGGGGCGCAGGGAGCCTAACCTTGGGCCAGGCCAGAGCCAGTACAGCGTGCTCCTTCCATCCGCGCGGACTATAGCGGGTGCACGGCGCTGTCGCGTGGCGTGTCGTGGCGAGGACGCCCAAAACATTGCGAGCGGATAACCAAAGTGCTGCAGTTTGAGGACGTTCCCTACAGGCTGCGCGGAGTCCAGTTCAGGTACGGCGGCCTACAGGCCTGCAACTGCGAGGCAGGACAACGATGGCGAGGGAAGTGCCCCCCTCCTCTCTTCTTCACCACTCCCGCCCCCTGGGCTGGTGGGAGAGGGGGAGGGGGCGGGGACCCTCCGTCCGGGAAGGTCGCGTGTGCTGGGGAATGTGGAGTGCGAAGAGCGTGCCAATACGGATAGCCAAGATGCGTTGCTGGAGCGACGTGACGGCATTTGGAATGATGTTGGTCAGGCGCGGCGCTGGCCTGTCCGCGGGCTGGCCGTCCCCGGTCCTCGGCGGCAGTGCCCGGCGGTGCTCTAGGGCGCGTTGTCAGTGCACTCCGTTGCGTCCGCGCGCGGCTACCATAGCAGCCGATAAGCCGGCCGCCCCGCGCCGCGAAGGTCGCCGGGTCAACGGGCGACGGAGCCGTCGTCGTGGTGATGCGAGAGGACCGCTTGGGACGGCGCGGTGGTAACAGTAACGCGGGCGGTCGCCGCCGCTGCCAGACTCTGCCGGACTCACGCGGACGCTCTACGAGGCCCGGGATCCCCCTTCGAGGACGCGGGAAGCACTGCGCGCCATTCTCGTTGTTGTGCACGTTAATCAGCAGAGCGGTGAGTCCCGTGCGGCGGCCAGAGGCGGCGGCGAGCGGCCCGGGACCTTCTCCCGATGGGTAATCAGCTGGGTGCGCGCGCGCGCTCGCGGCCGCCACGGCGCGTGCACGTGCGGGCCGTGGCTGCCCCTCGGGCTGCCCGTGCGACCGGGATTAGCGCCGAGCCCGACGCTGGTGGTGATCGTGATGGATCCATTGGAGAGAACTTTGAGGTGAAACCGGTAACAGGGGAAGAGTTCTATTTTGCCGAAAGGCTTTTATAGCTTGTCGCGGCGGGTCGTTGGCCTTGTTCCGCAGAGCACAGAGAAGAGCTTTTCTACAAGATGGGACGTTGATCAGAGGTACATGGTCGGGTGCTTGGAGGGGAGTCGGTAGCTGCATAACTTCGCGGGAAGAAGAAGCCCTTCGGGCCACCGCCGGCGGGTCTTGTCATCTGTTTGCCGACGTGCCACCACCCGAGCTGGAGCTGGTGTTTGCCTCCCCCTCCACCACCGCCGCGCCGGGGCTGTTAGCGCCCCCCGGCCCGAGTGTCGTCTGCCGCAGTGCGACGCGACAAGCAGCACGAGGAAGACACTGACGGCGACGTGACGGCGGCCCTCCCCCGAGACCATGGACGTTTGCACCGCCACCCCCGTGGCAGCCGCCACCTGCCGCCTGCACCCTGGCCGCGGGCCGGCCCCGCTCCTCCGCCCTCCAGACACAAGTCGGTTTAACGCCCCCCCCCCCCCCCCCGCAAAGTTGGCTAAGAGTAGAGCTAAGCTAGAGGCTTCGAACGAGCCGCCTACCGGTCGTGTTTAGCGGAGGCCTCCGCGGGGTCTCGCTCCAGATCCGTCTTGTTCACGTACGCTAACGCTAGGGATGTGGATGCGGTTTCCGGCCCGGCTCAGCCCGCTAGGCGGTCGGGACACGCGGGGCTCTGCAGGAGCGGTGCGGTGCAACGAGCGGCGCCCAGTGCGCGCCTGACGTCGTCCCCGCGCGGCTCCTGCGCGCCGGCCGGGCTGCACTCCGCCTCCGCGCGCCCGCACTGCACTCGCTGTCGTCGTCGTCGTTCGCTCACGGGCGTCGCTTCTTGTTGCAGCCATGGACGTGGAGGACCCCCAGATGGCGGCCGTGGTGGCCAACTTCTTCGACCTGGGGAAGGCCATCGCCGCCGACCCGGACCTCTCCAACGAGAAGCTGAGCGAGCTGCGCAAGTGGTCCGAGGGCCGAGGAGACGAGATCTTCCCCGGCATGACAGGTACGTGATCAGCACCGCGGGTGGGCAAAGCACCCTCGCAATACACCCGCGTCGTCGTGTTTGTCGCAACTCGAGCTGTCCCGTCACGCGGCCCAAGCTGCTCTGGTCCTTCCCCACGATGCGCCCCAGAGGTGTCACACCACGCGTAATGACGGTGTCTGTCTGTCTGTCTGTCTGTCTGTCTGTCTGTCTGTCTGTCTGTCTGTCTGTCTGTCTGTCTGTCTGTCTGTCTATCTGTCTCTCTTTATTCTCTCTCTCCAACGCGGCGGTCCTTTCTTCTTCATTTGCGCCGCGTTGCGACAATCGTGCCATTTTACAGGAGCCACTCCCGACACTCCGAGCCTCTTTGCCGCTCGCGCCTTGCGTCATAACTCTGCGCGCCAACCATGAATGACACTGACGAGTCGAGCAGGACCGAGCCGAGCCGAGCCGAGCCGAGCAGAGCCGAGCCGAGCCGAGCCGAGCGGTCGCACTGCCCCGACCCCTTGCGGCCCGCCTGCTGCCGAACGCCATAAGAGTGAAAGTGTCAACGGACCGCGGTGAACTTACGTGTTGAAGAGTCCCGGCGCATCCTTCGCTCATACATGCATTCGCTCATTCCGTTGTTTTCATTTCGCGCGACTATGACAGAGAATGCGCGCCCGCATCCGGCAGACTTGCTTGAAAAAAAGAAAAGACAGAGAGAAAGTTTTGAGCTAGACTATTCCTTTAAACTTGTTTCCAGACATGCAGCTGCTCCTGTTCCTACAGTCGTGCTACGGCGACCTAGAGAAGACCAAAGAGTGCATGATAAAATACTTCCACTGCATCCTGGACGTGCCGCAGTTCTTCGATCACTGGGACGTGGATCGCGACCAGATCAAGCAGGGCCTGGACACAGTGTGAGTCACGTGTTCCGTCATGCCTAACCTGCGCCCACAAAAGTCTCTTCTTGAATCATGAATTGTGAAATGCAAACGCAGAAAAAAAATTCGTGGCTCTGCTAAGTTTTTAGCACCGGAGCTAAAAAATTAACTGAATAGACTGGGCTAATTTATTTAGCATCAGGGCTAATTTTTTAGCCATATAGTAAACCACAACATTTATTAACCGTGTAGCTAATGTCACTTAGCTCTACAGCTAAATATTTTTACACCCAGTTTATTCTTTTGCACGGGTGTAAAATTGTACAGTTAAACCGATTTGGACGGAACCGACTTTTATTTTTCTGCGTGCAATTCCAAATGCAGTTTTCTTGAGATTTCAAGATTGTACCTGATTAAAGAAATGACTCTCGTGGGTGTGTAAAAATCAGTGGGTGCCTCGCAGCAAATAAAACTAAAAGCCTAAAAGCTTATTGCGATTTTTATTTTATTTACAGGTTCTACGCGCCAATGCCTAAGCTGTCGCCAAAGAACCACCTGATGATCTTGTGCAGATTCAGGCATACGGATGCGTCCAAGTACGTCTTCTCGGACGGCTCGAGAATATTCATGATGACGGTAAGTAAGCCTAGTCAGACAAGCTTCTTTTGCTTCGGCTCCTGCAGTACAGTCCAAACAAGCTTAATCGGACTGGGGAAAAACAAAACAAAAAAATACTAGCTAACAAGCCGGGACCACGTTGGGACGGCCGCCCGATGCAGCACCTCGTGCATGAGCCCGAGTGGAATTATTTGCGACAATAACTCTGTTGTTTCCGGGCCCCGGTGGGTCTGCCTTCCCGCCGCGGGGCAGTGCCGTGTTGCGGGCTGGCCCACCCGCCGGCGGCTCCATCAAACTGAAACCACAAACCACACTCTCGATGCCGCGAACTACTTCCACTCGGGCACCGTCTAGCCAGACAGTACCTCCGTTTTTCTCCGATCCATTCGGCAAGTTTACTGGGCTGGGAGCTCGGCGCCTGCGAGACTCGGGGTAGGCCACCGAGCAGCGCACGCATGTCCTGCAGGCATGATGTTGCCTGCCTACTAGGCGGTATGCGAGCTCTGGAGGAGGGCGAACTTGCCAGTTGCGACGGCGAATGACGGACGTACTTTCTGGATAATACCTGAGAATACCGTGTTAACCAAAAAAGCTCTCGTTTTCATATTTTTAATTTTTTCAATTCCCAAAACCCAAGTTTAGCTCGCGCGCTCTAAAAAGAAAGCCCGCCATTTAGTGAGCAAAATGAGAGTACCAATTTTGATGTTGTCGAAACAAACTCACTGCTTACGACTAATCCTCCGCGCTCGTTCTCGCCGCGCAGTCCCCCGCGGTGTAGGCAGCCCAACTCGCCTGGGTGTGCGCGCCGTTGCCGGCCGCCTAGGCGCGGTGCCGCTCTCCGCTCCAGCGGTCAACGCCCTGCCCTAACCCGCCTCTCTCCTCTAACCCACAGTCGGAGGCGCAGTTCCTGGTGCGCGGGCCGCAGGAGGGGCTGTCCGTCGTCATGGACATGACCAACATGTGCTTCAGCCACCTGTGGCGCTTCCCCGTGCCGCTGGTGCGGCGCTTCATCGGCATGATCCAGGAGGGCATGCCCGTGCGCCTCAAGGAGATCCACATCGTCAACTGCAGCTACTTCCTGCCCACCCTCATGTCCTTCCTCAAGCCCTTCATGAAGAAGGAGCTCGCTGACCTGGTACGAGGAGAAGCGTCACCTATGGGTTTTCTCATGACCGCTGTGGACCCTGGGGACTTGCCCGACTGACGCTCGGCGTGCTTTCAGATCCAGTGCCACTCGGGCGCCATGGACTCTTTCCACGAGCAGTTCCCCGCGGAGTACTTACCCACCGAGCTCGGAGGCACGGCGGGCACCTTCCAGGAGCATCACGGTGAGCACCTGCTCGACTGACTACAGCTGGAATAAACCAACACTACCGCAATATGTTTTCATTTTCGATTTTGTTTAAAGATAACAACGTGCGGCTGCTGGCGAAGCTGAAGCCGCTGTGGACGGCCAAAGACAAGTGGTCGGCGGCGCAGCGGCTGGACCGGGACAAGGGCAGCGACAGCAACAGCGACAGCGACTGAGTCGTGAACAGACGGGCAAACGCCTCTACGCGCATCGCGAAACTCTGACAATTTGTAAAAGTCTGTAAGTGTGTGAGGCGACTCGAACGAGTGCGTGCGTGTGTGGGTGTTGATGCTAGCTTACAAACTACGTGAGCCAACCATGACATTACACAGGGGGGAACATGAACGCCATGGAGTGTTCTCTTGTATGTTGTGCATACGAGTAGAACCATATAGAACCAATTGTTTATTCTTTTTCATCAGAGGAACCAAGAAGTGTGGAAAACGGGGTTGGTATTGTGCTATGCTAGCTGGCTCTGGCAAGCCCACGCCAAAAGTCTCCACTCCATCCATAGGAGGTGGCCCACAGAACATAGACCACTGTTTCTTTTGCAGTTATACTGTGCGGGTTTTCATGTCGTATAACTAGGAAAGAGACGGGGACAATGAGCATCAAAGTGAAGAATTATGCTAAATGATAATTATTTTTTAGCAATAAATGTTGTTGTACATATATTTTTATATAAAACACAAAACGAAAATTGTTTGTGTTTTTTTTTACCATTTGAAAGCAGTTATATGAAACCTCAGAGAGGGGACGCGTCACTCTTGCTGGTGTAGCGATCAAACAGATACTGGATGCGCGCGCCACGGGCCGCGAAGGTGTCAAAAAGAAATTGGTTCTCACCGCGTGCACGACAAGCCCGCAGCCGGCGCACATTTCTTTATCGTGTGCCGAATTTCTCCTCCGCCGAGAACAAAAGCGGCAGCGGCTACCGCTGGCCAAGATGGCAATCTGGCGCTGGCTACTGGTAGCGGCAATCTGGATGTCTGCTGTGGCGGGGAGCACCGGCTAGCGCTACAACAGCTCAGCGTTGCGTTTGTTCGCACAGCGACTGTCATTACCCCGAGCCACACGGACAACGGGGGGACAAAAGAGTCGGCCTTCGTTGGGAACCTAACGGCCTAACGCGCCCGGTACGCCAGTACCTCGAAGGTACCTCGAAGGTACCTACCTACACCACCTGCTGGGCCACCGTTTGCCCGCAACAAGCGATTACCGGTGGTGTATGTGAGCGTGCGTGTGTGTCTGATGTGTGCGATTTCGGCACAAACACACACACACATACACACGCGCGCGCGCACGCTCACACACACACACACACACACACGCGCGCGCGCGCACACACGCACACAACGCGCACATGCCTGCGCATGTAAGTGCTACACGCGGTGATAGTGTCGGTATGGGCAGTATGGGGCGGTGGCTGCTGAAGCAGTAGGGAAATTAAGAAACCTCGGAAGAAACTCTCGCGCACTGGGGAACCACAGCAGGCACCGCTGCCGCGGTCAGCACGCAGGCGGCAGGCGTGTGTGAGGTGATGTCCCTCCTCCTCCTCCTCTTCTTCTTTCCTCCTCCCCTCCCCTTTCCCTCTCCCTCCCTCCCTCCCTC